CGAACTTGCAGCCCTGGTTCTCGCTCCTGCAGTTTCTAGACTTACTGGTGTCTTTCCTGGGACCTGGAAGAACACGTTGCTTCAGCAGTGGGTGGGGGCTAGAGGCAGGATTTACAGAGACCACTTGTGTCTGGGGAGAGCACTTTCTCCAGGAAGAAAAGGGCCTCTCTACCTTGTGATCATGGGGTTTGTGCGCACATACACCCCCCTCCCCGCGGTGGAAACGCCAGGCTGCCCACCAGCAGTCGGTGCACGGACTGACTGTGGCTGGCAGGTGGGTTTCCACGCAGAAGTTTGACAGGGTGGACAGGGAAGCACAGGATGGTCCAGAGAGGAAAATCCAGAAAAAATTACCCACAGACTCCACAGATTTTGCTAAGAACAGGGTGCAGTTTCTGTTGTCCTGGAGTCCAGGCCTGTGCTGGATGCTCCTGTCCTTGATGTGTGCTGGGCGGAGTGTCCACAGGGAGGGCAAGTTACTGTCTCACCCTAGTGCCCCACCCCTGTCCTGAGGAGCTGAGTGGGGCAGGGCAGAGGAAGGCTCACAGAAGCCTCCCAGGGTCTGAGCTGAGATGTGCCCAGCTTCGAGCAGGAGCAGGGTAGAAGGCCCAACAAGGGTGGAGAGGGCATTTGGGGCAGGTGGTCTCGCAGACTGGTTGTGGTTTAGAAGCAAATACACCGTGGGGGTGGGGGTAGGAGGTGGAGTAGGTGACTCAGGTAGAAGGAATGGATGGCACAGATTCCAGGGGCAGGGTGCCCCGCTTTGGACCTGGACCAGTGGTGCGGATTAATGGGTGTCAGAGTCAGTCAGTGCACAGGACTGAAGCCTGGGGAGCAGAGAGGGCACTCCTGTACCCGCTGCACAGGCCGGGTCCCTGCCTCTTGGTGCTTACATTCTAGAGGGGACAGGCCTGCAATACCAAGGAGAGAGAGCCGGTGAGGTAGCGAGCTGAACCATCGCAGGAGGGAGGCCCGGCACAGAAGCAGAGGCCCTCCAGCTGGCGGGTAGGGGAGGACAGGTGAAGTTGGGGAAGCCTTGGGGGTCTGAGGGAGGAGCAGAAGTCCTGGTTGCTTGTTCAGGGCCCCCTCTGATGTCGGTTTGGGCAGCACTGGATTGTTGTAACAGTGCAACCTGTCCCTGGGAGGATCATTGACTGACACTGCTCATGTTCCACATCTGTCATACTGTGACGCCCAAAGCTGCAGGGAAATACTGCGTGACAGCCACATGGGAGATGTGCAGGGGCAGGGGTGGGGAAGGGCTTCCATGTCCCCTCCAGCATGTCACCCTTCCTGTACTGAGTTGTGTTCCCCAATTTGGGAGCTCCGAACCCTTCCTGTGGGATTTTTATGAATAGTCAACTCATTGGCCATTGGGGACTAAGTCAATCTGCAGCTCCTGTCCCCTCCCTGGAGTTGGGGTGGGCTGGTGGTGAAAGGGCTTGTGACTAACAGAGATACTCCTCTGTCCCCTCACTCAGGAAGTCCCAGGACCTGGGGAACTCTGTGCCAGGACCTGGGGAGAAGACCAAACAAACATGGATCATATCGCAGTATCGCTTCCCTAGGTAGCTGCTGTCCTGACGCCCATCACCACAGGGTGACATTGTCTGACCTTGATGCCATGGAACCAAATTACTTCGTAAACACTGCTCTGCATCTGTTAGAAATGCCCTTTTACCAAAGGGCCCCTGTCATGGAAAGTTAGGGCACTTGAGTCTGGAGCTTGTTTTGGGGAAGGGTGTGTGCGAGTCACTCACCTGGATAGAGTTTATAGCTCTGGTTTTTAACCACTTACCTGAGAGAGTCAGAGTTTGGGAAATAAAGCAGAAGCTTGAAAGAACCAGCAGGGCACTTTGGTTCTGGGTTACAGCACTCGTGACATCTGACCCCTTATGGCTACTGCCCCGGGGACAGAACCCCTTCCTGGGCACACGGGGAGCCCTGGGCCCTGTGTGGTTTCAGCCACAGGGAGGCTCAGCCAGGGCCAGAGACACACAGGTTTTCTTCCAGGCTTTGGGTAAGTGTGATGGGGCTGCAGGAGTGGTTGATTTTGGCATAACATCTTTGAGTCTTTGTGCTGTTTTCATTTTTATTATTATTTTAATATATCTCNCCAGGCTTTGGGTAAGTGTGATGGGGCTGCAGGAGTGGTTGATTTTGGCACAACATCTTTGAGTCTTTGTGCTGTTTTCATTATTATTATTATTTTAATGTATCTTTATTGATTTCAGAGAGAGGAAGGCGAGAGAGAGAGAGAGAGAGAGAGAGAGAGAGATAGAAACATCAATGATGAGAGAGTCATTGATCGGCTGCCTCCTGCACGCCCCCGACTGGGGATCAGGCCCGCAACCCAGGCATGTGCCCTGACCAGGAACCAAACCCCGATTGCGCGGATCCCAGGTTGACGCTCAACCGCTGAGCCATTCCCAGCCAGGCTCATTATAATTCTTAAAAATTAAAATATAAATGGTAAGTGAGATTTGAATGAAATATTGAGAACTTAAGAACTCCCAGAGCACGTGGGCACCTTTTGCCTGTCTGCCCTGTGGCCAATGCCCTGGTGCTGGATGAGCTCCAACCCCTCCTTCCTGTGTTTCAGGCATCTGTGACCACTAAGCAGGCAGGAGCCAACGGAGAGATATCCAGGCCCAGCTGTGTTGGGCCCTTTCCCCATTTTTATCAGTCAAGGGGCCCATTGTTGTGTCTAAAAGGAGTCAGTTGATGGATTCATATGATGGGTTCAGTCTGCTACAGAAGGTGTGGTCAGTTGACCAAAAAGTGGGGCCTTGCTGTGCTTAGGTAGAATGTTGACTGGAAGAATAAAGCTCCATCTGACAACTGCCACAAGAAACTATTCTGTGAGGTTTTCAAAAAAGAACAGCGCCTGCCTAACGTGGCTCAGTGGTTAGAGTTTCGGCCTGAGCACCAAAGGGTGGAGGGTTTGATTCCCAGTCAAGGGCACCTACCTGGGTTGTAGGTTCTATCCCAGGCCCCGGTCGGGGCAGGAGGCAACCAATTGATGTGTCTCTCTCACAGTAATGTTTCCCTCCTCCCTTCTCTTTAAAAATCAATGGAGAAAACATCCTGAGGTTAGGATTAACAGCACATCATCACCCTACCGCTGGCACCCAGCACGGCACCCTTCCTTCTGTTTTACCTGTTGCCCATAGAAAACACGCTGTGGCCTGAGTCCTTCATATTTCATATTGTATTTCATTTAATACAGCAAATGTAAATAGACCGTGGCCTTTCTTTCTAAAAATGGTATGTGAAGTTCCTGCGTCTAATTAGTTTAGAGCAGGGGTTTTAAACCATGCACGGTTTGTGGAATCAGTTTGGTAGCGTGACCAAAAGGAAGGGACAGAGCACATGTGGAGTGCCTGTCCTGCGAGCAGTGCCCCAGTGGCCTTGCTCCAGTGTGCCCGTGGGCAGGTCGCAGCGGGATCCCAGATGAGGCTGTGGGTCCTCAGTGGCACCCTGGCCAGTGCTCCTAGCTCATCAGAACTTGAGGGTCTAGATTCTCTGCCAAAAGGCTTTCTTTTTGAGGGCTGCTTTCTAGTGCTCCAAGTGTGTGCCTTGCGGGCTAGAAAGGGTGTGAAAATGTTCCAAACTGTGCAGTGCAGTCGGGGGTAAGGCCTCATTGGTACCAAGTCTAAACACGAAGACTCAAAGTGGCTTTGCCCGACGACATCCCGCTGTCACTGCTTCCTGTGGTGTCAGGCCAACTTAGGACAGCGAGGCAGCCTCAGAACGCCATCGCTGCTCTGTGCAGATCTGTCTCCTGGAAAGGGGTGTCATTTCATAGTGTCCTGGACCCCCACGGGGGCCTGTAGGCAAACCATGCCTGTGTTTCCAGGCATGGGAAGGAAAGCTCTTTGGGTTTTTAGGGGCTGGCGTCTTCCTGGGTCTCGAGTTTTCCAGAGGGAACAGTGCTTTATGCTCAGGGGCTGCTGGACACTTGCCCCTTTCCAAGGGCAACAGGTAGTTTCTTTGGCTTTTTGAGATTGTGAGCATTGGACAGTGAGTTCCATCTGAGGTTTCCGAATCTCTGAATGCTGGGGAATGCCCCCCCC